GAAATTAATTCGAATATCAAATGAGTCATTTTCAAAACAACTGTTCCCCATTTCAAAGGTAAACCACAATTCCTAGCGGTAATGGCAAACATCTCTCTCCAGAAAGAAGCATTGTGCTAATTAAGGCCAACCTCAACATCTTTACTGATCAGAAGATGTGCATGCTTTTTTTGTCATAAGAAGCGCCGGAGCTTTCATTTCTTTAGACAGAAGAAAGCATCTGCGCCGTTGCTTCTACCAAGTAACAATAAAACCAAAAAGAGCATACCGGAATTTAAATGATTTTTGCTGCTCAACCAAAGCCATCTCAATGAGTCAATTCTAGGCCGACGTACATAACAATAACAAAATTGAACAGATGACAATTTTCGGTACTCCAGTTTGTAGCTTCCACTGTCTGCCCAGGGTTAGCCCTGAAATTTGATGGACATACTATGGACACTTTACGCCCAGTCACTCCGGATAACTCGTGCAATTTTCTTGTGTTTGCTCGACAAAGCCATCTCAATGTGTCACTTCTATGCTAAAGTACAAACAAAGCTATAAGGCAAAGGTGAGGATTTACATACAAACACGCTGTCCTGAAACGAGGGGGAGAGAAGAAGAGGGGAGGGGGGCCTAGATAAGTGAAGTCGGATAGAAAATGGTCTACTGAGGTGTTTGCCCATGCGGTGGCGGACCTGGTGGAGGTTGAGGCATAGCAGACTGACCCCTAGTCTGCAATAAGCAAAGACAAGGACACAAAAGCTTCAGCTGAGTAATGTCGAAATTTATGAAAAATCTCTACCACAGATTTTTAATAGTCCTGCAGTGCATCGAGGTACATATAATTCTGTCTTACCTGGTAGGGATTATACCCTGGATGCATTGGAATTTGCCCAGGTTGACCCCGATTAAAGGCGCCACCCTGAGGATACATTTGGCCTCCACTTGCATTTGATGGGCCCTGCATGTTTGGCATACCATTTGCAAAACCTCCAACAGGTGCAGATGCTCCACTTGTAGGTATGGATCCTGAGTGCATTGGGTGTCTAATGACTTGCCAAAAACCCACATGTACGTACGCTTTACTGCGTAGCAAGGCTGTTGTAACTCGTTCACGTGTTATAATATGGATGGGTGATATGGTTAATATTTCCCACTTTTATTATATAATATCAATAAATATCCATTTATATATTCTAACAAATGAGTTATACCAAGTGACATACTCTCATACTATGTACACTATAATCACTCGCACTTAAAGCATCCACAATAAGGTTCCTAAACCATCTCCTTAGACAAATTTTAGAGAGAACTTGGAAAAATACAACTTCAACCATGCTCCCTATTCACCTCCTAAAATAGAGAGATCTCTAGGAACTTCTTTATATATGAGGAGAGAAAAGACTCCTAGTGGCTCCTTATAATTTAATGATGCTTTGTTTTATGCATAGTTTAAACTTTTAATTAATGCTA